CCCAAACACATGCTCACCCCATGACTGCACCACCTCGACTTGCTTTAAATGTCCCTGCACTCAATCCTTCACCAACCACCATCATACTTATTTCTTTCCATCTGTAAAAATTTTCCTCTTCCATCAAATCCATCATTTACGAAATACTCATTGAATTACTGCTATGTGCTAGGCACTGTTCAGGGAACTGGGAATACAGCATTGAACAAAACAATGTCCCCAAGCTCATGGAATTTAAATCTATAGTCTCTGAAACTCTTTATCACACCAAATCTCCCTTCTTCTGAAATACCACACATTTTGTCTTTATGACCACATTACCATCAATGTATTTAGACAGGCCAAAAATGTGAAACTCATCTCCAATTTGTCAGTCTCCATCTATATCTAGTCCTTTACAAAGTCCTGTTTGTAATATCCTGAGAATTCCACCTGCGCATTCTCTCATCCTTATCCAACTCTCACGGCTCTAGCTCAGGACTCTCATCACAGGTCACCTTGAACTGGTGTAATCACCTCCAGCCTCCTAACAGGTGGCTCTGCTTCTGGGCTTTCTTCCCTCAAATCTATCTTTCTTGGGTTCACTCATGATTAATTTACAACAGTAAGCTAAATCCAATCAGGTTCATGCCCTGCTTATAACCTTTTAAAGTTCAAGCTACTTGATATGGCACCATAAGCTGTCCATCTTATGCTTCTTGCCTCATTGCTTTGCAGAGTTTCTCATTTTTCCTACATTCTGTGTGTGTGTGTGTGTGTGTGTGTGTGTGTGTGTGTGTGTGTGTGTAACTAATATCAGAGTTCTTTAGTGGCTGGTTTGAACAATGCTATTGTTTCCATGTCTAGCACAGTGCCTGGCCTATATTAGTTTCTTACTAGAGTTTGAATTGAACTGGGTTTTTGCTATTTTGAATTTGTGTTTCTGATCTTCAGCTTTCATATATTGTGTCTTGCTTCTTCAATTGTATAGTGTGTTCCTTGGGGGCAGGGGTAATTAGGGCTATTTACAAATGCTCTTGTTCTCTTCCTGCTTTGTCATTGCAGAGAATTGTAGCATTTTCTTTCCCACACCTTTAAAATTAGGAATAGCAGTACGATTTGTTCTGGCCAATGACATGTGAACAGAAGTAGCATGTGTCATTTCGTGGAGAAAGCATTTAATTGCCTAGCACAGAATACTGCCACTATCTCCTCCTCTTGCTGTAGAGAAAGCATAAGAACAGACACTTTCTCAGTCCTTGACTGACTACGGTGAGCAGAGGTTTCTGCTGACCTGTACATGAAATGCAGCATGTGCAAGAAACAAACATTACTAATCCAAGGAGAGGTGGGGTGTGCTTACTGTGCTCACCATAACCTAGCCTATCCCAACTGCTCCATTGCCTGAGGACAGGAACTGTATCAATTAACTTTGTGTCTCCATTGTGCCACATTTAAAACAGACTGTAGACGTCTATTTAAATGTTGATTTCTGATTTGATTCATGATGTCCAATTTCAAAAATCCCCCTCCCATTAGTTTCTCTTCTCTCCCTACTAAAGCACAATTTCTACTCATTTTGCTCAACTATGGTTTCTAAAACATAGACATTTCTAATCAGTTCATAATCTGGTGCTGATCACTGGTGTAACATTTTGTAGAGAATGAAATGTCACCCCCCGAAGACTGACCGGATGATTCATTCTGCTCAGCTGTAGTCAGTGTCCTCCAGGGAGGGTGAGAAGGAATGCTCGGAGCACATGCCCTGCAGCTGAGCAGCAAAGCAAAGGGTTATAATAAATCAGCTTCCTAGGGGAGGTGCATGGTGCAGTACAGGTCTCCCTGTAGCCTCCATCCCAGCAGATGGCACAACAACATGGCAATAAATGTCATAAAAATGCTTCTCCCATTTGCCTTTATATACCTTAAAAAAAAAACAAAAACCTTCACTTTGAGTATGTAATTCTGTGAGCAGCAAAAATAAAATAATCCTCAGTGATCCTTTTTAAACTCTGTTGTTAAATAAGGGAATATTTTTAAAGGGAGGGAGGGATTCCAAAACAGAGCCCCTTCCTTAAAAGAAATGGCTAACATATATTTATTCTCTCTGCAATCCTCATGGTAACTGGAAGAGCATATTCTTTCTCCACATAGAAATTTTATTATGCCACACTCCGATGTTATTTCATGCACATGAGCATGGAGCTAGTTTCTAGATGTGCTGGTCCACTGCATTATTAATAAAAACAAAGAGCCCACAACCTTGGATTTTCTTCCCCCTACCAATAGTTCTAACACAGTTCATTCTACTTTCTCTGGCAGCCACACTTCCAAACATGTCCTCTCATAGCAAGTTCTATCTGCTTAATATCCAGAAATTTAAAATTAAGCTTGTAGGCACTGTTTTTATGATTACATGTTTTTAAAAATTAGAAATTTTTAGCCAGAGTTATAATAAAACTTTGAATCTTAACTTGCAATTTATCTTTATAAATGTCAAGTGTTTTACTTTGAAAGGTCAACATTTACCATAACTACAATGCCAATTTGCTAAAGATACTTTCTGAAAGACAACCAAATCTCCAAATTAAATATGTAGTCTTCTTATCTTAATTTTTTAAAAATCTAAAGAAAGAAAATCAGTGTTTCTTTTGAAAATATTTAGGGTCCACAGGAAATGTCTCTAGTGTGAAAACATACAAAAAAACATACAAAAAATATGAGTTCTGAGACCTATCCTGTGAATGGAATAAGATTTCCTGACCTGTATTGTCTACAACTGTTAGCAGCAGTGAATGCGTACGGGTCTGCTGCAACCTCAATTCTTGCATCCTCAGAAGAAATTCAACCAAGAGGCATAAAGGAGAGAGACTGAAACAAGTTTTAGAGCAGAAGTGAGAGTTTATTTAAATGTTTTAGAGCAGGAATGAAAGGAAGTAAAGAATACTTAGAAGAAGGCCAAGTGGGCAACTTAAGAGATTGAGTGCATGGTTTGGCCTTTGACTTGGGGTTTTATATGTTGGCAGTCTTCTGGGGTCTGCATTACTTCTCTCGATGATTCCCTTGGGGTGGGCTGTCCGCATGCACAGTGGCTGGCTAGCACTTGGGAGGGGCAAAAGCCCAGTGTGTTTACTGGAGTTGTACTTATACTTAATCGAGGCGTTCTTCCCTTACCAGTCTAATGTTCCTGGAAGGTCATATCTCAGTTAAATTCTGCCATTTTGCCTCTTAATGCACATGCTTGAGCTCTCTCGCCCCAGTCCTGAGATCTTATCAGGAAGCTGCTGATCACCAGTTTCAGGTGTTTCTATCTATTGGGAGACTGCCTTTCCCTGGCACTGGCTGCAACCAATTATTATTTTACAGAGTCAGTTTAACAATTGACTGACTGGCCAGGCACAGTGGCTCACGCCTGTAATCCCAGCACCTTGGGAGGCTGAGGCAGGTGGATCATCTGTGGTCAGGAGTTTGAGACCAGCTTGGCCAACATAGCAAAATCTGTCTCTACTAAAAATATAAAAAAAGCTGGGTGTGGTGGCGGATGCCTGTAATTCCAGCTACTTGGGAGGCTGAGGTAGGAGAATCTCCTGAACCCAGGCAGCAGAGGTTGCAGTGAGCCAAGGTCATGCCACTGCACTCCAGCCTGGGAAACAGAGTGAGACTCTGTCTCAAAAAACAAACAAATGAATAAAAAAATCAACTAGCTGACCATCACCTGATGGTCACCTGACATTCTTGGTGGTGGGCCCTCTCCTGGCCTGCTCATGTCTACCTATCTACTCTAATATATAACTAAGCCCAGTAGTAGGGGAAATTCTTTGTTTTGTTAAAATAGGTCACTGGGTAGAGGTTGTGGCTTTGCACATTTTAAGATCTATCAACATAATACCAAGAAGAAACCACAAAGGAAAAAGTCGTAAATCCAAATACAAAGGTGTTTAAAGCTTTAATATTTTATTACAAATCTGTATGGCCAAAAGTTTCTATAACAAACCCCTGGGTTTGGAACCATTTGTTTCTTGTTTTTATTTTCTAAAAAAGAGAGGGATGTTAAAATTCAGCATAGAAATGGTGGAACTTTGGGATTTCCTGTCCAGAGTTACCTATGAATCAGGTTTTATTCCAACTGATTTAATGTGGCAGATTAAATGTGAGAAGTAACGTGGTAGGCTCCCTTAGGCACCAACTCCTGCTTAGCTCCTGGTTACCTCTGCCTACATAGATAATTGATCAAGCAAGATGTTTACATCCCCACACATATTATAGATAGTTTTGGTCATGAAATCACAATTTTCCATACCTGCACAATCTTTAAAAAATGAAACTACACATCCGCACAAAATCTTTGTTTGGGAGTGCAAGGTAGGCCAGGCAGTGGAAGAAAAATTGACACCAACTTTCCTGAGAGCTTCAAAGCAAGAAAGTGTCCCTGTTCCTGCAGCAAATCCTGGTCGCATGCTGGAAAATGCAGCAAGTGAAGGACACCAAGCATAGACACAAAAATCAGAACATGACCGTAAGGTAGCCAGGCTGGCAGGTGTAGGGCCAACATGGCTGCATGCCAACACAGTAAAATGCTTCCTACAGCCACACATTTACAATCAGCTTGGTGATGTTTCCAATCAGACTGGGAGATTTAGGTTCTCCATATGAGGCAATGACAAGGATTTCAAATGGACCCAACATCTTATATTTGTCAACAGCACTAACACAGCTTCAGCTGGCAGACGAGAGGGAAACCAAGAATACCTGCATTATTTACTCCAGAGAAACTGCCTGAGCACCATCTGTTCTATCACCCCGCCCCCCACCCACCAATGTGGCCCTTTCCTAGCGCACGCTTGCCTAGTTCGGTGAACCCCTTAGTTATGTATCTTGGCCCAAGAATGTCAAATCCCCATGTTTTCCTCAATAAAGAGATTTGGAAAGTTAATTTCAACAGTGATTGGTAACACAGAAGATCTCTTAATGCCGCAAAGTATTATTAGTTGTCCAGCTGCAAAGATGATTTGTTGTGTTTACCTTTATTCTAGGATTGAATGCTATGCTTTCACTGTACAATGTAGTGGCTGGGGGATGGTGAGGCAGAGGGGACAGAGGGATTGAGCTAGATTACACAGCATAGAAAATCAATACTCTTACACTTTAGGGTCTGTAAACTGGTTTGAGGTCACAGAAGTAAGAAAGCCACCTGAATTAGCAATAAGAAATAGCTTACACACAGCAAAGACAAGACTAGTTTCTGAAACACCTAAAAACCACATGTGATGTCTATATTTGTGTCTAGTTGATTTGCACTCAAACATTGGCCTTTCTGGAGATAAAATGTCCCCTTCTGAAAATCAGGGTACACTATTAGTAAGTCAAGACCAAAACAAGAGCCGATAGTAATGACAGTACTATATTTGATTGATATGATCTGGAAAAGGGATATTAAAACAAGACCCTTCAAGAGAGAAAATCCAATAATTTTCATTAAAAATAAAAATGACCCATTTATAAAGAAGTAGTTCAAAATTTATTTATAATTTGTTTAAAAGAATATAAGATATCAAATTTTTTCTTTTGTGCATATTTATACCACAGATAAGAAAGTATGGATTAAAATCTAAAAAGACCCCCCAAAGCTTTCCAAAACCTGATCTGAGGATTCAATAAGACTTTGTCACTTAGAGAGACAAGGCTGTAGCACCCACAACTCTATGAACCTGAAAGCATCAAGTGACCCCTCATTTTTTTTACCTTACCAACATTACTCTAATTATACTTCCAATTAAAAAAATAATGTAGCATTTCACTGGCAGTAGAAATTAAATGAGTTCAGTAATCAGCTCCTGCAAACATGCATAAATGAGGACAGGGAGAAACCAGTCATTCCTGACTGATCAGTCAAGTGGGTGGACAGTTGGAAACAAGGCAAAAACAGTGAGGCTGAACAAAATCACATTAAGAAGCATTTCATGAGGCTTTTCAAGGTCAGCTGACGAAAGCCAGATGAGAGTCCATATTTTCTCATATACCCTGCAAGAAAAAGAAACAAAAAAAATTACCGCAAGCAGCAAAGTAAAATTCAAAGCCTTTGTAGTCAAAAATGAAATTCCTGCAAAGAACACTTTTACTGCATCAAACTACAATGACCATTTTTTAAATTAACAACTTAAATGACCATTGAAACTATTTTGTTTTCAAGTCACATTGCATTTGATTCACAAAATACTCTTGGTCAGTAATGTAATGGCTTGTCAAGTGATGTCTTTTTGACTGTGTTCTTAGAGATAGACTAACATGGGTCACAAATAATACAGTTGGAAAATGTTGTCACCCACCTCCATAGCTACAGCAAGGACAGTATGAACACATGAGGAACAGAGCAATTTAAATGGAAAGTCTCAAGTAGGGTTGCGCTGCATTATGCAGTAGAAAGGTGACTTCTAAGAGGATCTTGAGGTAGAGAGATAGACTCATGAGTCCCCACTCCCACCATGTGCAAAGGGTCAAGAAACCTCTATCAAGCCTTTTGCAGTGCTAGGCCATTATACATCTGGAATGCACACTACTGCTGTTTCTTCTAACACTCGGGGAAATTTAAATCTCAGGTTGCCTCACTGGTCATAGGAAATGCTTAACTGTCCTTGAAGATGTAGGATTTAGAATTTCCACAGCATCCCAAAGAGCTTCACCTACGAGGAAATATCATTTAAAGTGATTTTTTAAGTGCCTCACCTTAGGTGCCTCAAAAAAACTAATAGAGGACCCTGGAAAAATCAAAATGTATTTTTTAACATACAAAAGCAATTATAAATTGTTGAAGAATAAATGTGTATGTTAAGCAATATGAGAAGGCTGGTTTAAATTAGCAATGATTAAAAAGTAAAAATCAATCAACCTCACATATATACTTATTGGGGGCCTCCTGCTTAAGTGTCTAGACGACATTTCAAGAAACCACTGTTTCTTCGCATGGCTTGGTTTTATCATATTTTCTGCCTTTCTCCTTTTTTTTTTTTTTTTTTTGTCTGTGGCTTTTCACTTGTTTCAATATTTCCTCCAAGCCTCTGTGAACTGAGGCATTGCTTTCCTCTTTCATTCCTTGGAGAAGCTCAGTCTTCATCTGTCAGTCTTTAAATAGTGACACGTCCTTGATTTACTATAATAATAATTCTAATATATTAATATAATTTAGTTGCTAATTCTATATATTAACTTGTCCACTTGTTATTTGCAATACATGTCCTAAATAAAATTTATGTCCTAAATAAAACTTCCACAGTGCTGGCCCACGCTACATCTGGAATACACACTATTGCTGTTTCTTCTAACACTTTGGGAAATTTAAATTTTAGGTTGCCTCATTGGTCTTAGGAAATCCTTAACTGCCCTTGAAGACACAGGATTTAGAGTTTCCACAGCATCTCAAAGAGCCTCACCTACTCCATCAGAGGAAATACCATTTAAAAGTTTAATTTATGGCCTCTCTTCTTACTTTTGTATGATATTCTTTGATGAACAGACATTTTAAAATTTAATGTAGATTTAGTTACCTTTTTTTTTTTTTTTTGGTTTATACCTTGGGTCTTACAAAATCCTTTCTCAGCTCTATTTTATAAACAGCCTCTTTTTCTAAAATTTAAAAAGTCTTCCTTTCTGTTTATAGGCTTTAATCCACTTAGAATTTTATTTTTAGAATTGTATTGGGACCTAATTTCATGTAAGTTCTCAATCGTCCCAACAGCATTTGTTGAAGAGTCTGTTTTCCCCCAGTGATGTGCTCTGCCCCTTCTGTCATACAAAAAAAGTAAAAAATTCAGAAATGTTGGGTGTGCTGGTGCCAGTTGCATACCTCATTAAATACATAATTAAGTCTCCATATATACTTCATCTTTAGGAGTGAACTCCTTACTCTTGGTTCTTTGCTTTGATTACAATGTATGTGAATCTATAGCTTATTTGAGAGCTCATTCCTATCCATTAACAAAGTATAACTCTGTATTTATTTCACAGCATTTTTTTTTTTTTTGAGATGGAGTCTTGCTCTTTCACCCAGACTGGAGTGCAGTGATGCTATCTTGGCTCACTGCAACCCTCTGCCTCCCAGGTTCAAGCGATTCTCCTGCCTTAGCCTCCCAAGTAGCTGGGATTACAGGCACTCACAACCATGCCCCGCTAATTTTTGTTTTTTTTTAGTAGAGACAGGGTTTCACCATGTTGGCCAGGCTGGTCTCAAACTCCTGACCTCAGGTGATCCTGCCGCCTCAGCCTCCCAAAGTGCTGGGAGTACAGGCGTGAGCCATTGCATGCAGCCTTCACAGCATCTTTCTACAAGATTTTAGAATTTTTTGAAAAGAGTTATGCATATCTTTGGTTGGATCTTATTAGATTTTTCATTTATTCCTAATGTGTAAAAATGTAGTTTTTACATATTGATCTTATATCTACCAACATTGTCAAGCCTTTTTTTTTCTTCTAATAATTTGAATGTAAATTCTTTTGGATTTTCTATGTAAATAATTGTAACATCTGTGATTTACAAAGGCGTTTCTTTTTCTCTTTTCAATCCTTATATCTTATTTAAAGGAGATGTTTTTGATATATTTTTATTATTATAGAGTTTTGATTTCTTTATGAGGCAAAGAAATTTCCCTTCCATTCCTAGTTTGCTGGAAGTTATTTTTCTTTTTTTTTTTTTTTTACCAAAAATGAGTATTGAAATTTAGCAAATGCTTTTTCTGTACTCACTGAGATGACCATATGAAGCTTCTGTTACAATTTATGAAGTGAATTATCTCAATAGGTTTATTTGTTTTGTTTGTTATAAGCCAAGCTTGCATTTCTGGGATAAATCCTATCTCATCAGGACATGTAATGCTTTTTCATATTTATTCTGTCAAAATCTTGTAATTGTTTTGAATCTACATTTATGAATGAGAGTGAGTCTATTTTCTTTTTCTATACAATCTTTGTCCCATTTTAATTCAAAATCATGTTTACCTGCTTAATCATTTTGGATAATACTTCCTTCTTTTTTAATTAATCAGAAAAACTTTCTAAACATTTGCAATAATCTGTCCCTTGAAAGTTTAGTAGAGTTTTGCTCTCATATATATAGGCCTGGTCTTTAATGGGAAGACAGTAAGACACTGATGTTGATAGTGTTTGTATCACTTTGCGTGTCCACCAATAATGTGTCACATACCTGTTTCCCCCCAGTCTTGCCAACAGAGCATATGGTCAATCTTTTGGCATTTTAGTTTAATTCCTTTTCAAGTTTTCTTGGTTGTCTTTCATTGTCTCCTTTTTGCACATTATTGTATTTCAAATCCACTTTTTATTTCATCAGATATTTTATACACCATGATTTTAAATTTGGTATCTAATCATTTTAGCATATGAAATCATCTGGCTCTAAGTCTCTCTGTGTGTTTGTGATGTTGACTCACAACCACTTGTTTCCTTGTGTGTGCAGTAAGTTCCGGTTGTTGTTTCATGCCTGGGATACATCAGTGAACACAACGATCCAGTGTCCCCGCCCTTGTAGAATGTGGAACATACATCACCACATGGAAAGGCAAAGAGCAAACGGTCAACAAAACATACAATATTTTAGAATTATGTTAGAAGTTGAAGAGTGCTATAGAAAAAGGGAAGGGAGCCTAGAAAGGGGACTGCAGAAGCCGGGGTGAGGGCACAGGCAGCAGCTTTAACTAGGATGCCCAAAGTAACCTCACTGAGACCGTGGAATTCAAGAAAATAAATGAAGGAGGACAGACCACATGGATATTTTGGAGAATAATGCAGAGAGAGAAGCTAGTGCTCTCAGCAAGAAAGCTGGTGTGGATAGAGAAAAATAAAGATGGAGACAAGCAGGAGAGCCAGAGGGCTAAGAAGGGGTCTGGATCATGCAGCATCTGGTAGGCTGCTGGAAGGACTTCAGCTTTTACTCCAAGTGATTTGGGGAGTGATGAAAGCCATTGGAGGGGTATGCAGTGTCAGAATCTGACTTCTGTCACTCTCATGTTGAGAATATACTACAGTTAAGTAAGTGTGGAAGTAAGGAAACCATCTAGGAGATGACTGCAAGAATCTGGATGAGCACTGAGAGAGGCTGGAAGCAGGATAATGGTGGTGAGGATGGTGAGAAGCTGATGGACTGGATATATTGGGAAGGAAGAGTTCAGAGGATTTGCTGATGGCCAGCTGTGTGGGTGTGAGAGAAGGAGTGCACCATTATGGAAACAGGAAAATGTGCAGTTAGAGCACTGGGGTAAAGGGGATCAAAGGTTAGTTTTAGACATGTTAAGGCTGAAACGTCTATTATATATCCAAGTAGAGATGTTGGGTAGGCAACTGAGTATGCAAGTCTGGAGTTTGGTGAAAGGAGTCTGGGCTGGAGATAGAAATTTGGGAGTCATGAACATATAGATGGTATCTAATTTCATAAGAATGAATGAGGTCATCAAGGCATAAATGAACATCAATTCAGGAAGTGGTCCAAGGTAGATCTCTGAGGCAATCCACTGTTGAGATGACAGGCAGATGCAAGGAATTCAGCAAAGAGGGAGGAAAAGGGGTTATCACTGAGATATGAGAAAACCCAGGACAGTACAGTGTCCCAGAAGCTAAGTTAAGAAACAGTTTCAAAGAAGAGGGGGTGATTCACCATGACAAAGAATGACAATCAGTCAGAAGATGAAGATTGAGAAATAATCACTGGATTTTGCAATGTGGACATTTTTAAGTGACCATGAAGATAACATTATTTTTGATGAGTAGATTCTAAAACCTGATTAGAATGGGTTTAAGAAAAAAAAAAAAAAAAGAAATTAGAGATTGGCACCTTTTGATGTTTTACTCTAAAAGAGAAGAGAGAAACAGGGCAGTAGCAAGAGGGAAATATGCTACCAACAGAATTTATATTGATTTATATTTTATGCTGATGGAAGTGTTCTAGTTGAGATGGAACATTCAGCAATTCAGTAGAGAGGAGAGACTATTATTAGAACAAAGTCCCCCAGGAGGTGGGGAAGATGAATCATAAAGCAAAGCAAGCACAGAAGTACAGATTTCTGGAGGTCAATAAAGGTGAAGGTGGGAGCCTGAGGAAGTTCCCAGGTTTCTCTTGCTACTTCCTTTTAAGTAAGGAAAGGATTGATAACCCCTTTGGACTTGGATATGCCCATCCTACTAAAAATTTCACTCAATCATCCTCACTATTACATCAGGAGAAAACAACACTCCTCTATTTGATCTTTGAGGAGTCTAAGCAGAGATTTGTGGCTCAATAAGGACTGCCAATAGTCATGGGTGAGCCAGACTGCCACATCCTCATGTCCTCAGCAGAAGCCTACGCAGTTTTCATTTATGCTCTATAATCATCATCCCCTCAGTCCCAAATAGGTACTTTCTAAGTTTTAAGAGCAGTTCCACAGAGAAGAAATGACAACTGGACAGTGAGTTTCCAAGTCCTGACCAAAATCTGAATTCCAATTGTGTTTCACAACTAAGTTATGCAAACTTGGATAATGTCTTCAACTCACAATGGCTCATTTTCCACATGACTCCTACTCACATATTGCTATGAATAAGACAGCATGTATATATTGTATCACACAATACAAAGATCCTGTGTTTCAATTATTTTCTCTGTTCTATACTGTCCCTATTCTGAATGCCAGAGTGTAACAAATGTGCATATATTTTGGATAAATAGACACATCCAGAAAGTGTTCTCTGCAAATTTGCTTATGTTCAATTATCTTAAATACATATACATTTTAAAAATCCATTCATCAATTTAAATGACTAGATGTCTTTCAAAGATACATGCTATAAGATTTCTAACAGATTGACATCTCAAACATGATCTTTCATCTGTCAGCTATTTATTAAAGAGAGGTCTTCTCTAGACTTTCTAGGTCAGCAAGCACTTGATTATTTTGTTGAATTTTTACCAGTGTACAGATTTCTATCCGATCTGTGTGTATACAAAGGGAGAGCGAGGGAGAGAGAGACAGGAGGAGAGAGAGAGAGAGAAGAGAGGGAGGGATGGGGGGAGGGAGAAAGAGAGAAAGAGAGAGAGAGAAAGTACTTATGTACTTGGGCTTCAATTAAACTGCAACACCTATGTCTTTAGTTTTGATCCTTACACATTGCAAACCTCACAATTATACATGTTTCAAAGCTTTGGTGCTCATTCAATAATATATTGTGCACACGAAATATATTAAACACATATTACAATACAGTTGCAAGGCTTTCATCACAGAAATATGTAAGGACATTTCATTTTTTAAAAGTGCCTTTTGCTATAGGGTTTTTAAAAAATCATTTTGTAGTGAAAAATTAACTACTGGTTTCTTTGATATGTTAGTTTGACTGAAAGAATACATTACTAGAGAATGCTTATTATTTTTGTAACCATATTTCATTTAAAATCTTTCTGGGAAAAAAAATGTTCATTTGTTTTTTTGTAGGTCTGGGCAAGGGATGATAAAAAGCCTTAGCATCCAGGCAATCATGCTGAGAACAAAGGGCAGGTGTCATTTTTTATTGTGATTGGCCAGAGCTGAAATCAGGACTTTCTCCCTCTCACAGAAGCTATTGTGGAATTTACAGTAATCCCCCTGGCTGACTGCCCATCACACTGCCGAACAGCACAACAACAACAAAAAAATAATATCTGGGGAGAAGGCCACCACATATATTAAAAATTCTCATGTTTTTATTCTTCAACATTGAAAGATGATTTTTTTTAAGAGAAAAGAAAAACTCACCCAGCTGTTACTGCTATTCATATTCCAACAGCCTCCAGATTGCTCGAGGCCACCTGGTTGACTTTTGCCTTGGAGTCGGTCCAGAAAAGCATTATTTACCCTTTAAAACAATGAAAAATGTGTGTGAGTAGAAAACTTGCTGCAGGGCTGAGATATTTCTGAGAACTTAATGTGCTGTGTGAACTGACCGTGGGGATAGCTTTCTGGCTTCAGCTTAGAAGAAATCTACAGAAACTTCTCTTTCCACTAACTATATGACATGCTGTTAACCGCTCTTTACTGGAGCTGTTGCCAATCTTGGCTCAAGCCAAAGGGGCTACAAATTCTTAACCTGAGAGTTTCAGGCACTCATCTCCTACCAGTACAGCAAGACCCTAGTTCAAGAAAGCAACTACAGTCCTCAGAATCATGCCAGGTATGAATCTCAGAGGATGCAGCAAGACAGAAGCCTCAACATGAACCAAAACATGAAGAAGAACCAAAGATAACTCTGTGGTATTATTGCTGCAAGACAGATGTCCTTCCCATATTCCTTGCACTCCACTGTCAGTCTTGCTAAAGTAAACCCCATACAAGAAAAGCAGAAGTGGAAGGTAGTAGGGTGATAGTTATACTATTCTATTTCTGGAGCTGGCTACCTGGTTGTTCACTTTATAATTAATCATTCTAAATATCTGTTTCATAAACCTTTCTGTGTGTTTCATATTACAACTTTTAAATTTAAGATAATGAATCACAGATAACTTCGTGCTGAGTTACCCACATGAGGCTGAGTAGAGTCGGGGACTTGGAAGCTAAAGAAATGGCACTGCAATAGATACCCTATGATGGCAATATTCCTATTTAGGAAGTGCATAAATAGGACTATAAGCTTCTTGGAAGCAAAAACACGATGTCTGGTGTATAGCAGCAAATATACATTTACGGAAGGAAGAAAGGCAGGAACCAGTCACACGAACCTCTTGTTCAGTCATGAAGCTTAGCAGAATATGGTCATGGTGAGTGGCTACAAGCCAGTGACTGTGGGAGATTTGGGAACTTTAAGGAAAAGAAAGGCTGGGTGGCAAAGTCAAAGGCTAGAGGGGGTTTTTGTCTGCCTGCACTTGCTCAATGCTAGCTACGATGCCAGCCGTGTGTGGGCTCATGCAGCAGATCATTCAGGGTGGTGGGAAAAATTGTAGGAAAGATGCAAAGAAGGCTGAGAGGTTTTGCAAAGCTTCAGGAAGGAATCAGCCAAAGGAAGCTGTCCTTACCCAGAGGCAATTAGGCAAGGAGTAGGCACAAAGGAACGTAAAAGAGTTTATCTAAATAGCCTGTTTACTCATGTTGTCCGAAGACCGACCTTTGATCATCTCCTTGCAGAACTACTCTCTACTGGGGTGGGGAGGGCGTTGGCAATGTTAATTACCCACTAATGGTGTTTACTAGAGGCCTTTGTCATTTAATCTGTACTAAATAAATGTGGAGCATCTCCAGAAACCCTCTTAGGGATCTGTGAGCCGTGGGGTCCCCTGGCTACACTCACACAGGCAAAATATCTATGTCTGCATAATTCTGTCATCTGTCACTCAGATAGAATGTGCCAGTCAGACTTGGCAGTTCACTGCCAAGCTCCATGTTTAAGTCACCTTCTCTAAATCTTTCAGCATGCAGATGGAATAGTATCCTACTTAGCGGAAGACTCCCAAATGTCCCCCCATTAGGACACCAATTTAACTATCAACACAGAAAAAAAAAACCTTTATAAGAACCAAAACTCGGGTGAGCCCTCATAGTACTTGGTTTTAACTACATATCAATGCAAAAGATACTGAAGAGATAGAAAAAACAATTTTGAATCTCCAATGCCACCGACTATTAAGCAAGAGGAAAGTGACCTTGCTCCCCAATGGTATTCTGGACTGCCTACATGCCTGGGGCTGTTCTTATCCAGTCTTTTTGTCAGTAGCAAAGATGGGGTTTCCCGCAGCATCCTCCACCCATCCCACCCCACATCCAAACCACTAGAAGCTTTGTTTGCTCTACCTCCGGAAGACATCCTGACGTCACTCATTTCTTTCCATGGATACCATTCTAGTTCAAATTACTATCTCCTCTTCACCTTGCCACTGCTTTCAGTCCCACCTTCTGTAATCTAGTCCCCATACAGCAACCTTACTAAATTATGAAACAAATCATGTCTTCCTTTTGCTTAAAATTCTGTGACTTCCCATTGGTCTTAGAATAAAATCATTGGCTTATAAAATGTTGTGTTGTCTTGCTCCTGCCTACATTTCCTCCCTCACTGAGCATTATTCTCTTCTTCACTCACCATAATCCCAACACATGGGGTGAGGTGTGGTGGCTCATACCTGTAATTTCAGTAATCCCAGCACTTTGGGAGGCCAAGGCAGGTGCATCTCTTGAGGTCAGGAGACCAGCCTGGCCAACCTGGCAAAACCCTATCTCTACTAAAAACATAAAAATTAGCTGGGCATGGTGGTGGGCATCTGTAGTCCCGGCTACTTGGGAGGCTGAGGCAGGAGAATCACTTGAACCTGGGAGGCAGAGGTTGTAGTTAGTGGAGATGATACCACTGCACTCCAGCTTGGGTGACAGATCGAGACTCTGGCTCAAAAAAAAAAAAAATTAGCCCATCACTTGGGATCCAAAAAGTACAAGCTCATTTGCACTTTAGAGCCTCTGGACTTGCTCCTCCCCTGTTCATAGGCCATCTAAGTCCATGCATCTGCCCCCAGTCTATATGTAGCTGATTCTTCCTTTTCCTTTGATGTCACCTCTGCAGTGAGGCCTTCCTAAGTAACTTATTACCTCCAATTTCTTCTTTAATATCACCTTGTGATATGGTCCTCACAGTATATATCACCATCTGAAATAACAGCGCCTTTGATTGTTGACTTCCATTTCTCTCCTCTAGATTACAGTTTCCACATGGTCAGGGACCCCTTCTGCCTTGATTAGCCCTATTCCTGGGGCCTAGAACAAACCCTTTATGGACTGCATCCTGATAATGTAATTAATGAATGAACAAATCTTCTTGGCACACATTCTTCACCCCTGAAAACAACATGGATGATAACTGCAGACTGCAAAACAGCTCACTGGCAATTGCTCCCAATTCACTCAAACCCTGCAAAGACTGATGGCTTGTTATGAAGGCATAAGGTAATGTGATTCACTTTTGAGCATCAATTACTAAGAGGACATCAGAGTGGTTGAGCACTCCTTGTTACCATAGGAGTGTCCTCAACTTGCCTATGACCACTGCAGTGTGAGTCAACCAGAGATAATGGGTTTGCTTCTCTCAATCCCTATCAAGAATCTAAATGGGAGGGAAAAGGACCAATTTCTATTTTGGTTTAATAATTTTAGAAAGTACATACATGCTATCACGGTCAAAGTTGTGCTCTGAGTTTTCTTCTGAGGGTTAATTTGGATAAAAACTATTAATCAGGGATAGTTCAAGTTTGAATAAATGAGTTCACTTCATCCCAGTTTTCACCTCATGGCCTAAATCCTTTCAAGTCCTTGACCCCTGTGCTCTGTCTTTTCTCTCCAGAGTTTCTACTCGTCTTCTCCTACTCAAATAGTTACAATGGGTCAGGTGCAGGTGCACTTAAGCTCATTACAAGTTCATTGAAAAGCTTGTCAGGAATTGAAAAGCTTTGAAAAGCTTTCTATTATAACACTCGGAGTTGAGTTTTCTGCAATGTGAACCTTTAAACTGTAGAGAGCACATTGCCCTTTTGATGCCAATAAAATTGTGCCTCTGGAGAAAACCTAATTTACTAATTTACATCTGGTACACACATACTATATAGCTTGTGTTGTTGCCTTGGATAAGAATGGACATGCTATTTTATTAAGAGTTCATTGAATATGTATTCTCATATGATAACATGAGAAAGCTCATGGCACACTTTAAAGGCAATACAAATGTAAGCTCTTTTCAAAAATTGATGAAGAACATAACATGTATGTATTTAATGACTTGATCAGATACATCAAAACTAATTATTTACTGAGTTTATTATCATAAAAGTCTCTTCTTTAATTAAATTTGGATCTATACATTTATTGGATCTATTTAAGTAGAATCAAGAGAAAGAAAATAACGTATAGAAATTAAAAAGCCCCACCAAATATTTAGGTATTCAGTAGTATGGAAATAAACTTAAAGAATGAGGGCCAAGTTTCCTATAACAAAAAAAGTTATTTTTCCACTTCTAATCAAATAGCTTGAGTGTTTATTAGGTGCTCATCAAATATAAATATTTTAGCAATGGAGCCTATTAATATGACACATTAGAGTCTTATAATTCAAGTAATCCTCAGAAATCCAGAGAAATAACTGGCTACTGTTAGCAACCAGTGTATAAATACAATATCAAGTGTTTTTTAAACAGAAAGTATTTTACAGAGAAAATAGGCAAGGCACAGTGGCTCGTGCCTGTAATCACAGAACTTTGAGATGCCAAGGCAGGCAGATCACCTGAGGTCGGGAGTTCAAGACCAGCCTGGCCAACGTGGTGAAACCCCATCTCTACTAAAAATATAAAAATTAGCCAGGCATGGTGGCATGTGCCTATAATCCCAGCTACTCGGAGGCTGAGGCAGGAGAATCACTTGAACCTGGGAGGCAAAGGTGAGCCAAGATCGCACCACGACCCTCCCACCTGAGAAATAGAGTAAGACTCTGTCTCAAAAAAAAAAAGAGAAAAAATAATAAAAATCAATAAAATGACTAAATTATGGCCTACTTTATAATAAATAGTTAGCATCCTTTCCCACCACCATCTTATCCAACAATAGAGCCTAACCAACATATCAGAATTTTGATGTTTCCTTAAATAAGAGAAAAAAATATACAGCCTAACCAACATATCAGAATTTCGATGTTTTCTTAAATAAAATAATTTTGATGTTTCCTTAAATAAAAGATGCTTCCTTAAATAACAGTCCCCCTTCCCACAGTTAAAGGCACCATCAGAATAGGGAGCTTCCACTGAATGCTTTTTAAAGTCCCTCATTTAGAAAATTAAACCAACATAACTTAAAGATATACTTTAGTGGTAGTGGAAAGGTTAAATACATAAAAGAAGCCATTCGCTATCAAAAGAATATGTTCCTTTAAATTGTGAAAACGCTTACATTCTTCTCCAAGATACTCAAGTGCACCCTTAATGAACTCAAACAACCCGTGTCCCCCCTAGGAATCTTAGCATAATAATGGCAGACAATATGGTGCTTATTAGCACTGTCCCGACGTTAACATGATATTTTACTAGGTATTCTTAATTCTGGTATTAGAATTAAGATGGAGAGTACTTAGACTGTTTGAAAATTACTTAATGGTTCTAAGATTTTTTCTCTAATGTATTTGTCAATATTAAATAACTTTAATGAGTTTTTGTCTAAGCTTTTGTACTCAAGTATGGGAATCTGACCATCTATATCAATGCAATTACTCTAACAAAGTCTATAAATGGTAGAGCATTGTCTCAAATTAGGATGCTTTGTCCCGTGGAAGGCAAGTTAAATATACCTTAAATGAACACACAGCTTAAGAACATGATTCAGTTTTCTAATGTAAGTTTGTAATGCCTCCTATCCAAGAAAATTGGATATGTGTGTGCATGCACATATGTACACCCATATGTAGCAGCTGGCATACCTCATACATATATCATGTCCCAATAACAAATATTTAAATGTAATACACATTCCAAAATTGTATTAATGTCACTGTAACGTTTTTCTAAAACAACTGTACAAACTTTGAGGTAATTGATTTAACCAAGGATGCTTATTTTATTAGCCAGTTATACCTCCTGTGTTCAGTCTGGTGGATTTTGGCTCTTTCTTCCTCTTGCTGCTGCCACTTAAGTTCCAGTAATTCACTCTAGGAACAATAAAAGTTTTAAAATATGGTTTTCAATTAACATGGCTGTACAGAAGACACCCAAATCATTTACATATTTAACCTCAGTGGGTACATTTCATTTTTGAAACTTTTACTTCAGTGCTATTTGGATGTGAAATTGTTTTCTTATATAAGTAGGTAGCAAAATAAGTGTGGCTTAGTCAATCAGAATAGCTCTGTGAGTGTAAAATTGTTAGATTAAAAGCCAATGTACATGGTCAAGATACTAGACCAACAGGTACAACACAAACAGAGAAAAATGCAATGTAAGGCAAACTCATCTATGTCTTACAGAGAAAAACAAATCAAATTAGCTCCTTCAGGAATATCACACAATACTATTTCTTGGTATTTCTCTAGCATTTCTTTCCTAATAAATTCTTAGCAACATACAAATAAATATTGGACTCAATCTTTTAGTGTAATTCCGCTAAATGTTCTCCTTCCTGGATAATAAGCACTCACCTATTATTGATTAGTTACTTCTAATACCACCAGAACTTTGGGATCTCTAGAGGAGATACTTTGGTTCATATAAATCACATTATTATAACTAAATCTTTAGCTTCTAACAGTCTGCTTATCTTCTTGGAAGAGGCAACTTAACTTCCAGACCCAGTTACTATGTTTCCAGTATTATACCAAAGAACCAATCCCAGGATTTCTCTAATACCCAGCTGTCTTCCCTAAGGCATAATAAATTTTAATCCCATTTCAAAGACAGAAAAATGCAAAGAGAGGAAAATCATTAGGCCCAAGTCATATATCAGTGCCTGAGTCAGAGAGATTTTCTGGTAGAGAACATGCTATCATGTCTTAATCAAACATACCAATAAAAGGTTGCTACTGTTGTTTTAACTCCCAATCTTCCTTGATGAAAATTATAAAATAAACTCAAAGTTCAGGTTGACATTTTATTAACCTTGTTCAAAGATCCTCTAATATTCCACATCCCCCAAAATCAAAAGACTTGTTTCTTATACTGTGAGATTCCAAATAAATTGCTCATCAATCCCTAAAGCACATTACTTAACCCTAATTCTTATATAACATCAACAAGGGGAAATCATTGAATAATATTTGAGTTTTTGAAACCCATGAATAATACTTGTCCACTCAAGCATTTATTATGCACCTAGATGCCAATCTTTATCCTCAAGTCTTACTTTTGCACAACAGGATAGTTTTTTTAATAGTCTGCCAAGTATTAGTATTCCTTGTTAGTACTACTACGGTTTATACCAGTGTGAAGGAAGCCCCTGTCCTCTCACTCATCTCCACAGTCATTTCAGTTCCTGCATGTGGTTTCATCTGCAATTATCTTCTTATTAATAGTATGCATAGCCATTTCTTAATTTTTTAAAAACAGCATCATCTTTTGACTACCTATAATGGAAAAAAATTGATGTCTCTATTACTATCTCCACCCTCATCCCAACTTCCTCTCATAGTGCACCCTCATCCTTATTCTCTTACAACTTTTCTTTTTTAACATTCAGTATGTTGGGAGAGGGATCAAGAAATCCTATAGCTCCAAATTCAAGTTTCTAATTAATCCTCCTGTTTTCAACCCTGGGCTTCAAAGGTACCAGGTGCCTCTGATTCCTGAACTTAACCAATGTGTGTCTTACTGCTTCTTGCAAATGAATTCTGGCTTTTCCTCCACTAAATCAATTACCATTGACCATCTAGTTCCAGAATTAAAATTTTGGCTTATATCTTTACTGGAATCTACTAGTCTGTTCTTTTGTTCTTGCTGGCTTATGGCTTTAAAAAAAAAAAATCATGTATGGTTAGTGGGATATATACGATACATACCAGAAACCATATAGGAATTTTTTGTAAAAAAGAGAGTGATAAAACATCAGCAAATGAAATGCTTTTGATGTCCAATGTTTAACCAGAAAAACTTAATATTTTCAAATAAAAGTTTTACCAGAATTTTATTATTTGATTCACACAAAAATTGCAAAGGTAGGCAGGCAAATGAAGTATTATGTGATAAATGAATGAGCAATATCATCCTTACCCTACTGATGAGGAAATGGGATCAGAGACACAATTTTAGTAACTTGTCAAGAGCTAAATAGCTTATTAGAAGCAAAATAAATACCAGGGCTTACATTTTCTTGTATCTAATAATCCTCTGCAGGATGTATTCAAAATAAACGATTGGAATTAAGGATACCTTCTTGCTGGTTCATCATACTTAAGTATAAGGAGTCATTTCCAGAACCATAGGACCCATTCACATTCAAAAGTTTTAGCAGAATATATGTAGCCTAAGCACAAATCTAAATCCTTCTGGCCAAGGATGCTGATTATTTTCACATTCATTAACCTTATTTCTCCAAGGAGCAACTTCTGGTATCTGGTCCATTGTCCATTATTCATTAAGACAATGAACTCGGAACAAACTAAACTCTCATTAGTTCTGAAGTATGACACAAAGACAAAAAAAAAGGATGAAATACATATATATGCATATTATGACATGTTACTTTAAGATACTTTTTTCAGACTTGGCAAAATGATCATGAAACTTGTTTGAGGAAAAAAAATGCAATCATAGCCATAAAAAAAGTCCTGAAAAAGGAAACAAAAAATGAGAAAGAACCAGCTTCATCACACATTAAAAGATACCACATGAGAACACATGGATGGGGAGCAACACACACTGGGGCCTATTGGAGTGGAGGATGTAGGGAGAGGGAGAGCTAATGGAATGCTGCATTTAATACCTAGGTATTGGGTTGATCTGTGCAGCAAGCCACCATGGCACATGTTTACCTATGTAACAAACCTGCACATCCTTCACATGTATTCCCGAACTTAAAAGTTGAAGGCAAAAAACACATAATAAACTATAGTAATTAAAACAACTTGAGTCTAGGAAGAGAAACGATACACATGGAAATGTAGTTTATCATAAAGTTGTTGTGCTAAACCAATGCAGGAGAGAGTTCCATGAATGATGATGGACAAGCCGACTACTGCAAGAAAGATCAAAACTAGTTCCTTAATTTGATTAAGTAAATTTTACAGAAATCTAGGATTTGAGCCTAGAAGATGGGAATAGAAGTTTTCAAAGGCAGCACAGGTGAATTTATTTATAAACTTGGGAGGGAGGGAGATCCAGAAATTATAAAAAGATTGATAAATTTGGCTGCATGAAAATTCAAACCTTTCATTTGGGAAAAAAACACCATAAAATTTAAAAATGAACTGTTAATGAACATTCAGGATATGCATAGGCTAATTCAATTTTCTTTTATTCATTCATTAAATATTTGAGTATCTCTTATGAGGCAGGCTTGGATCTACATGACAGGCTACAGTAGTGAGCAAGATAGATGAGATCCTTGCTCCTTTAGAGTTTATATTCTACAGAAACGCAACCCATAAACAAGTGGGAAAAATATCCAAACATAATCCCATACAGAGGATTCAAACACACTGATGTGAGATTCAGTGGCTCAGTGACTATTTTAGGTTGAGACTCAGGACATGTCCCAGAAAGTGGGTAAGGACTTCACATGAATCAATAAGGAAAAAACAACCAAACAGAAAAAGGGCAAAGGGATAAGAACAGGCAGTTTGCAGATAAACTACAGGTTGCCTGTCAGTTCAAAATGGTCATTATCTTCACTCAAAATCAAAGAAATATCAAAACAATGAGATAAAATGTTTCTATTGTACTGACAAAAATCACAGAAGTTTGACCAAAAAAAAAAAAAAAAAACCTCTGGTATAGTATCTAAATTAGCGTAAACTAATCTAGTTTTTGGAGGTCAATTTAGCAATAAGCACCAAAATGTAAGACATATACATCCCTTGCAGAAGTGTTCAAATATGTATGTATACAGATATTCACAGTTATATTACTGAAACTTTAAAAGTTCAGGGAAAAATATTAATGCCCATCAACAAAAAATTTGTGCAGTAAGTGAGACCATCAGCACCATGAAATACAAAGAATAAGGTCGATCTTTTGTAAGGTTGAGCAGGAGCCTTATGGAGAGATCTCTAAGATACACTAAGCGGTAGATAGAAAACAGGTTCAGAGCCATTTTCTTGGGACGCTTCTATATAAATAGAAAATAGATGCATAGGTCCATTTCAACTTTTATATGCTGTATGTATCTAAAACATTTATGAAAAACGACACGAGAAAATGTTAACTGTAATTAATACTGGGTAGTGGCACTTGGAGTGTGAATGGGCAAGAAAAGGATGCTTTACTAACTTACATAGCTTTTTGACTTTTGAACTGTGTACATATTATTTCCTCATACCATCAGTAGGAATTTATTATCAGTGGAAGAGGCCATTTCTGTTTCCTTACACTTTCCTTTATTTAAAAATCCCAATAAATATGTAATTTTTAACACAGGGAGATATAAAAGAGCGAAACACTACATATGAAGCTAAGAACTGTTGGGGAGGAAGAAAAGAAGAAGGGAAGAGAGCAGCACACATCATCCTATTACAGAGGCAAGAACAGGGGAGAAACGATAAAGGCCAGGAGGGAAATGGGGACGGGAGCTGATGAGGCATCACCATGCAAGGACACTGCTCCAGATGGCCAAAGGGAAGGTGCTGGCATCACTGCATTCAGGATTATTATCCTATAACTAGCAAAGCGTATTTACTAAGGAGAGGCTGGTTTTTCCTTCCGTGCTAAGAAAGATAATTTCAGCTGATTAATTTGTTCTGCTGATCTGACAGTCACCGAGGATGTGTTCGCATGACTTATAAGCATATTCTTGGTTCATTTACTGAGTTCCCATCCCGAAGTTCCATATCTAGAATTCAGCAAATAAAAAATAAGTTGTTCTTGTTTCAAGGATCAAGCTCGGGACATGAAAAGAACCAAAGTGCCCTAAGTAGGAGGGCAATGGCATGCAACGTCTGAGACATTGTTAAGGCCTGGCCTACTCAATGCATATTGTCACACACCAACCATTTTCCAGATACCT